ATCAGGGCTTTAACGGTGTGTGCCATGCCCATCAGGGCTTTAACGGTGTGTGCCATGCCCATCAGGGCTTTAACGGTGTGTGCCATGCCCATCCGGGCTTTAACGGTGTGTGCCATGCCCATCCAGGCTTTAACGGTTTGTGCCATGCCCATCAGGGCTTTAGCGGTGTGTGCCATGCCCATCAGGGCTTTAACGGTGTGTGCCATGCCCATCCGGGCTTTAACGGTGTGTTCCATGCCCATCCGGGCTTTAACGGTGCGTGCCATGCCCATCAGGGCTTCAACGGTGTGTGCCATGCCCATCCGGGCTTTAACGGTGTGTGCCATGCCCATCCGGGCTTTAACGGTGCATGCCATGCCCATCAGGGATTTAACGGTGTGTGCCATGCCCATCAGGGCTTTAACGGCGTGTGCCATGCCCATCAGGGCTTTAACGGTGTGTGCCATGCCCATCAGGGCTTTAACGGCGTGTGCCATGCCCATCAGGGCTTTAACGGTGTGTGCCATGCCCATCAGGGCTTTAACGGTATGTGCCATGCCCATCAGGGCTTTAACAGTGTGTGCCATGCCCATCCGGGCTTTAACGGTGTGTGCCATGCCCATCCGGGCTTTAACGGTGTGTGCCATGCCCATCCGGGCTTTAACGGTGTGTGCCATGCCCATCAGGGCTTTAACGGTGTGTGCCATGCCCATCAGGGCTTTAACGGTGTGTGCCATGCCCATCAGGGCTTTAACGGTGTGTGCCATGCCCATCAGGGCTTTAACGGTGTGTGCCATGCCCATCCGGGCTTTAACGGTGTGTGCCATGCCCATCCGGGCTTTAACGGTGTGTGCCATGCCCATCAGGGCTTTAGCGGTGTGTGCCATGCCCATCAGGGCTTTAACGGTGTGTGCCATGCCCATCCGGGCTTTAACGGTGTGTGCCATGCCCATCCGGGCTTTAACGGTGCGTGCCATGCCCATCAGGGCTTCAACGGTGCCATGCCCATCCGGGCTTTAACGGTGTGTGCCATGCCCATCCGGGCTTTAACGGTGCATGCCATGCCCATCAGGGATTTAACGGTGTGTGCCATGCCCATCAGGGCTTTAACGGCGTGTGCCATGCCCATCAGGGCTTTAACGGTGTGTGCCATGCCCATCAGGGCTTTAACCGCGTGTGCCGTGCCCATCAGGGCTTTAACGGTGTGTGCCATGCCCATCAGGGCTTTAACGGTATGTGCCATGCCCATCAGGGCTTTAACGGTGTGTGCCATGCCCATCCGGGCTTTAACGGTGTGTGCCATGCCCATCCGGGCTTTAACGGTGCGTGCCATGCCCATCAGGGCTTTAACGGTGTGTGCCATGCCCATCAGGGCTTTAACGGCGTGTGCCATGCCCATCAGGGCTTTAACGGTGCGTGCCATGCCCATCAGGGCTTTAACGGTGCGTGCCATGCCCATCCGGGCTTTAACGGTGTGTGCCATGCCCATCCGGGCTTTAACGGTGCGTGCCATGCCCATCAGGGCTTTAACGGTGTGTGCCATGCCCATCCGGGCTTTAACGGTGTGTGCCATGCCCATCAGGGCTTTAACGGTGTGTGCCATGCCCATCCGGGCTTTAACGGTGTGTGCCATGCCCATCCGGGCTTTAACGGTGCGTGCCATGCCCATCAGGGCTTTAACGGTGTGTGCCATGCCCATCAGGGCTTTAACGGCATGTGCCATGCCCATCAGGGCTTTAACGGTGTGTGCCATGCCCATCAGGGCTTTAACGGTGTGTGCCATGCCCATCAGGGCTTTAACGGTGTGTGCCATGCCCATCCGGGCTTTAACGGTGTGTGCCATGCCCATCCGGGCTTTAACGGTGTGTGTCATGCCCATCCGGGCTTTAACGGTGCGTGCCATGCCCATCAGGGCTTTAACGGTATGTGCTATGCCCATCAGGGCTTTAACGGTGTGTGCCATGCCCATCCGGGCTTTAACGGTGTTTGCCATGCCCATCCGGGCTTTAACGGTGTGTGCCATGCCCATCCGGGCTTTAACGGTGTGTGGCATGCCCATCCGGGCTTTAACGGTGTGTGCCATGCCCATCAGGGCTTTAACGGTGTGTGCCATGCCCATCAGGGCTTTAACGGTGTGTGCCATGCCCATCAGGGCTTTAACGGCGTGTGCCATGCCCATCAGGGCTTTAACGGTGCGTGCCATGCCCATCAGGGCTTTAACGGTGCGTGCCATGCCCATCAGGGCTTTAACGGCATGTGCCATGCCCATCAGGGCTTTAACGGTGTGTGCCATGCCCATCCGGGCTTTAACGGTGTGTGCCATGCCCATCCGGGCTTTAACGGTGTGTGCCATGCCCATCCGGGCTTTAACGGTGCGTGCCATGCCCATCAGGGCTTCAACGGTGTGTGCCATGCCCATCCGGGCTTTAACGGTGTGTGCCATGCCCATCCGGGCTTTAACGGTGCATGCCATGCCCATCAGGGATTTAACGGTGTGTGCCATGCCCATCAGGGCTTTAACGGCGTGTGCCATGCCCATCAGGGCTTTAACGGTGTGTGCCATGCCCATCAGGGCTTTAACGGCGTGTGCCATGCCCATCAGGGCTTTAACGGTGTGTGCCATGCCCATCAGGGCTTTAACGGTATGTGCCATGCCCATCAGGGCTTTAACGGTGTGTGCCATGCCCATCCGGGCTTTAACGGTGTGTGCCATGCCCATCCGGGCTTTAACGGTGTGTGCCATGCCCATCAGGGCTTTGACGGTGTGTGCCATGCCCATCAGGGCTTTAACGGTGTGTGCCATGCCCATCCGGGCTTTAACGGTGTGTGCCATGCCCATCCGGGCTTTAACAGTGCGTGCCATGCCCATCCGGGCTTTAACGGTGTGTGCCATGCCCATCCGGGCTTTAACGGTGTGTGCCATGCCCATCCGGGCTTTAACGGTGTGTGCCATGCCCATCAGGGCTTTGACGGTGTGTGCCATGCCCATCAGGGCTTTAACGGTGTGTGCCATGCCCATCCGGGCTTTAACGGTGTGTGCCATGCCCATCCGGGCTTTAACAGTGCGTGCCATGCCCATCCGGGCTTTAACGGTGTGTGCCATGCCCATCAGGGCTTTAACGGTGTGTGCCATGCCCATCCGGGCTTTAACGGTGTGTGCCATGCCCATCCGGGCTTTAACGGTGCGTGCCATGCCCATCAGGGCTTTAACGGTGTGTGCCATGCCCATCAGGGCTTTAACGGCATGTGCCATGCCCATCAGGGCTTTAACGGTGTGTGCCATGCCCATCAGGGCTTTAACGGTGTGTGCCATGCCCATCAGGGCTTTAACGGTGTGTGCCATGCCCATCCGGGCTTTAACGGTGTGTGCCATGCCCATCCGGGCTTTAACGGTGTGTGCCATGCCCATCCGGGCTTTAACGGTGCGTGCCATGCCCATCAGGGCTTTAACGGTATGTGCTATGCCCATCAGGGCTTTAACGGTGTGTGCCATGCCCATCCGGGCTTTAACGGTGTTTGCCATGCCCATCCGGGCTTTAACGGTGTGTGCCATGCCCATCAGGGCTTTAACGGTGTGTGCCATGCCCATCCGGGCTTTAACGGTGTGTGCCATGCCCATCAGGGCTTTAACGGTGTGTGCCATGCCCATCAGGGCTTTAACGGTGTGTGCCATGCCCATCAGGGCTTTAACGGCGTGTGCCATGCCCATCAGGGCTTTAACGGTGCGTGCCATGCCCATCAGGGCTTTAACGGTGCGTGCCATGCCCATCAGGGCTTTAACGGCATGTGCCATGCCCATCAGGGCTTTAACGGTGTGTGCCATGCCCATCAGGGCTTTAACGGTGTGTGCCATGCCCATCAGGGCTTTAACGGTGTGTGCCATGCCCATCCGGGCTTTAACGGTGTGTGCCATGCCCATCCGGGCTTTAACGGTGTGTGCCATGCCCATCCGGGCTTTAACGGTGCGTGCCATGCCCATCAGGGCTTTAACGGTATGTGCTATGCCCATCAGGGCTTTAACGGTGTGTGCCATGCCCATCCGGGCTTTAACGGTGTTTGCCATGCCCATCCGGGCTTTAACGGTGTGTGCCATGCCCATCCGGGCTTTAACGGTGTGTGGCATGCCCATCCGGGCTTTAACGGTGTGTGCCATGCCCATCAGGGCTTTAATGGTGTGTGCCATGCCCATCAGGGCTTTAACGGTGTGTGCCATGCCCATCAGGGCTTTAACGGTGTGTGCCATGCCCATCAGGGCTTTAACGGTGTGTGCCATGCCCATCCGGGCTTTAACAGTGTGTGCCATGCCCATCCAGGCTTTAACGGTGTGTGCCATGCCCATCAGGGCTTTAGCGGTGTGTGCCATGCCCATCAGGGCTTTAACGGTGTGTGCCATGCCCATCCGGGCTTTAACGGTGCGTGCCATGCCCATCAGGGCTTTAACGGTGTGTGCCATGCCCATCAGGGCTTTAACGGCGTGTGCCATGCCCATCAGGGCTTTAACGGTGTGTGCCATGCCCATCAGGGCTTTAACGGCGTGTGCCATGCCCATCAGGGCTTTAACGGTGTGTGCCATGCCCATCAGGGCTTTAACGGCGTGTGCCATGCCCATCAGGGCTTTAACGGTGCGTGCCATGCCCATCAGGGCTTCAACGGTGTGTGCCATGCCCATCCGGGCTTTAACGGTGTGTGCCATGCCCATCCGGGCTTTAACGGTGCGTGCCATGCCCATCAGGGCTTTAACGGTGTGTGCCATGCCCATCAGGGCTTTAACGGCGTGTGCCATGCCCATCAGGGCTTTAACGGTGTGTGCCATGCCCATCAGGGCTTTAACGGCGTGTGCCATGCCCATCAGGGCTTTAACGGTGTGTGCCATGCCCATCAGGGCTTTAACGGCGTGTGCCATGCCCATCAGGGCTTTGACGGTGTGTGCCATGCCCATCAGGGCTTTAACGGTGTGTGCCATGCCCATCCGGGCTTTAACGGTGTGTGCCATGCCCATCCGGGCTTTAACAGTGCGTGCCATGCCCATCCGGGCTTTAACGGTGTGTGCCATGCCCATCCGGGCTTTAACGGTGTGTGCCATGCCCATCCGGGCTTTAACGGTGTGTGCCATGCCCATCAGGGCTTTGACGGTGTGTGCCATGCCCATCAGGGCTTTAACGGTGTGTGCCATGCCCATCCGGGCTTTAACGGTGTGTGCCATGCCCATCCGGGCTTTAACAGTGCGTGCCATGCCCATCCGGGCTTTAACGGTGTGTGCCATGCCCATCAGGGCTTTAACGGTGTGTGCCATGCCCATCCGGGCTTTAACGGTGTGTGCCATGCCCATCCGGGCTTTAACGGTGCGTGCCATGCCCATCAGGGCTTTAACGGTGTGTGCCATGCCCATCAGGGCTTTAACGGCGTGTGCCATGCCCATCAGGGCTTTAACGGTGTGTGCCATGCCCATCAGGGCTTTAACGGCGTGTGCCATGCCCATCAGGGCTTTAACGGTGTCTGCCATGCCCATCAGGGCTTTAACGGTATGTGCCATGCCCATCAGGGCTTTAACGGTGTGTGCCATGCCCATCCGGGCTTTAACGGTGTGTGCCATGCCCATCCGGGCTTTAACGGTGTGTGCCATGCCCATCAGGGCTTTGACGGTGTGTGCCATGCCCATCAGGGCTTTAACGGTGTGTGCCATGCCCATCCGGGCTTTAACGGTGTGTGCCATGCCCATCCGGGCTTTAACAGTGCGTGCCATGCCCATCAGGGATTTAACGGTGTGTGCCATGCCAATCAGGGCTTTAATGGTGTGTGCCATGCCCATCAGGGCTTTAACGGCGTGTGCCATGCCCATCAGGGCTTTAACGGTGTGTGCCATGCCCATCAGGGCTTTAACGGCATGTGCCATGCCCATCAGGGCTTTAACGGTGTGTGCCATGCCCATCAGGGCTTTAACGGTATGTGCCATGCCCATCCGGGCTTTAACGGTGTGTGCCATGCCCATCAGGGCTTTAACGGTGTGTGCCATGCCCATCAGGGCTTTAACGGTGTGTGCCATGCCCATCAGGGCTTTAACGGTGTGTGCCATGCCCATCCGGGCTTTAACGGTGTGTGCCATGCCACACATCACACGCATCACTTGCATTACTTCCTCGGCCCTTACTCCCAACCATGCCGCGCCATGACTCCTCTCTGCAGACCTGCCTTCCATGCTCCCATTTCACTTTCTCTCTTTTCTTCTGGTGCGGTAGCAACTGGGTGTGTTGCATCGCTGCCCAAGTGATTTCTGATTGACCCCTGACAACACTTCTCCCCATAACCCTTTATTCCCCCTCCTTCCCCCATCAGGCAGCATGGCTCGTCTATTGGGTGAAGATATCACGCATTGTGATCGCTCCGTTTCTCTGCCTCCCCCCTTCTCCCTCCACCCCCCACCAGGCGGCATAAACATCTCATCTGGTGAAGATCGCAAGCATCGATTTTCCACCTCTTCCCTTGTTTGCTCTCCCTCTCCCTCTCCCTCCTCCCTCTCCCCACGTCTTTCCACCCCTCACCTCACCAGGCGGCACAGATCTCCCATCTGGTGAAGATCTCGGGCATCGTGATTGCGTCCTCGCGAGCCAAGGCCAAGGCCACCTCGGTGGTGCTCATGTGCCGCTCCTGCAAGAACGTCAAGGCCATCCCCTGCCGCCCGGGCCTGGGTGGCGCCATCATCCCGCGCACCTGCGACCGCACCCCCCAGGTAGGTTGCATTCTCCATGGGCGAGGTGGGTGTGCCGTGGCAGTGAGTTGGGTGGCACGTGACGACCGCACATGTGACTGCACCCACCAGGTAGGTTTCAATTCATTTTCCATGGGAAAGTGGAGTGTAGAAGACGAATAAGCACATGGTCAAGGATGCGTGTGATGCAAGGTTATCCAGATGGGCGTTTGGAGCAAGGAGCAGAGAACCACTTCCGTCCATCCTGGTCCCAAAAGGGTCCCGGCGGGGAGACCCCATGTGTGGAGCTGCTGCTGATTAAAATTACAACTCTCTTCTTTCCCTCCTCTCCTTTCTCCTCTCCTTCTGATGTTTCAGACCTGATTTTCTTCTATTCCAGTCCCCTTCCTTGCTTATCCCCTTCCTCGTTTCCCGTCTCCCGCCTGCCTCCATCCACCCCTTGTCGGTGCGAGCAGCCAGGGGAGGAGCCATGCGGGGTGGACCCGTGGGTGGTGCTGCCGGATAGGAGCGAGTATGTGGACCAGCAGACGCTCAAACTGCAGGAGAATCCCGAGGTAACTGAGGAGAATCCCGAGGTAACTGAGGAGAATCCCGAGGTAACTGAGGAGAGTCCCGAGGTAACTGAGGAGAATCCCGAGGTAACTCAGGAGAATCCCGGGGTAACTCAGGAGAATCCCGAGGTAACTGAGGAGAATTTCGAGGTAACTGAGGAGAATCCCGAGGTAACTCAGGAGAATCCCGAGGTAACTCAGGAGAATCCCGAGGTAACTCAGGAGAATCCCGAGGTAACTGAGGAGAATCCCGAGGTAACTCAGGAGAATCCCGAGGTAACTCAGGAGAATCCCGAGGTAACTCAGGAGTATCCCGGGGTAACTCAGGAGGATCCCGAGGTAACTGAGGAGAATCCCGCGGTAACTGAGGGGAATCCCGAGGTAACTGATGAGAATCCCGAGGTAACTGAGGGGAATCCCGAGGTAACTGAGGAGAATCCTGAGGTAACTGAGGGGAATCCCGAGGTAACTCAGGAGAATCCCGAGGTAACTGAGGGGAATTCCGAGGTAACTGAGGAGAATCCCGAGGTAACTGAGGAGAATCCAGAGGTATCTGAGGAGAATCCTGAGGGGACTGAGGAGAATCCCGAGGTGACTGAGGAGAATCTCGCGCCATGCCTATGCCCCATGCGCGCATGCCCCATGCACCATACCCATGCCCCATGTCCCATTCCTCATCTGGCATGACAGAAGCACAATGTCAAGCTCATGCCTCATGGCCCATGATGCCCCATGCACCATCTCATGGGTGAGATGCTGCGCAGCGTCCTGCTGGCGGTGGACCTCTGGTTGCTGGTGCAGCGCAGCATGTGTGCTCAACATACAACACCGTCAGCCTTGCCTTGCCCCGTACTCCATACCCCATGCACCATGCACCATGCCCAATGCCCCCATGCTGCCCCTCGGGACGTGCCCACGGGACGGGTGAGATGCCGCGCAGTGTGCTACTGGCAGTGGACCGCTCGTTGGTGCAGCTCATGATGTGTGCACTGCATGCCTCGTACCCCATCCACTGTGTGCCCATTTCCACCATGCCCCACGCCCCTCAGGACGTGCCAACGGGGGAGATGCCCCGGAGCGTCCTCCTGGCAGTAGACCGCTCGCTGGTGCAGCGCATCTCCCCCGGCACGCGCATCACTGTGTTTGGCATCTTCAGCATCTTCCAGGCCTCCGATAAAACCAAGTGAGCTGCCTGCCTGCCTGCCTGCCTGCCTGCCTGCCTGCCTGCCTGCCTGCCTGCCGCCCAAAAGACTGACTCGTGTGAGTCTGAGTGAGTGAGTGAGGTAAGAATTTTCTCATTTCACTCAATTGTTTGCCCCTTTAACGGTCTGCACACATTCTCCCCCGGCACGTGCATCACTGTGTTGGGCATCCTAAGCATCTTCCACGCTTCCTATAAAACACGTGACATGCGTGGAGGCTCAGGGCCTGTATTGTGTCACGTGTCATGTATCTGAGGGGCTGAATTGTGTGGGGACAAAACCGAGTGAGATGATTGGTCTCTCATCCCAATCAACTCCTTGCCCCTCAAACGGTTTGCCCGCTTTGGCAGTCTAAGCACCTTGGAGCCTGCGGTTAAAAACAGGTGCGATGCATGCGTGGTGGCTTGGGGGGAGAAGCCCAAGTCCTGGGGTGCCATGGCGGTGGCCATACGGCACCCTGCAGACGGTGGGGGTGGAGATGCCACGGCTGCCCAGCTGACCCGCAATCCCCGCCCTCTCCCCCACCTCTGCTCCCTGTGACCCCGCCTCTCAGGTCGCGAGGGGCCATGGCGGTGGCAATACGGCAGCCATACCTGCGAGTGGTGGGAGTGGAGATGGCTGCGGATGGCGCTGCCAGGTCCACTGCCTCCTCCTTCACCACTGATGAGGTTCGTCGGCGGATTGACTTGCGTTCACTGGCGTTGACTGGCGTTGACTGGCGTTGACTGGCGTTGACTGGCGTTGACTGGCGTTGACTGGCGTTGGCTTGCGTTGGCTTGCGCTGGCTTGCATTGGCTTGTGTTGACTTGCGTTGACTTGCGTTGACTCCCTTGACAATTTCTGGCCCACACTGACTTGGATGCTTTCTCCGAGCTTGGGTGTTGATTTGTGGATTTTTCCCGCTCAAGCCCTTCCCTCCTCCCTCTCCCTGCCCCACTCAAGCCCTTCCCCCCTCCTTCTCCCTCCCTGCCCCCCTAACAACACAGGAGGCGGAGTTCAAGGACTTCAGCTGGCAGGGCGACGAGGTGACTTTTTAGTTAACTCAAAAGTCACTTCTTAGTCACCCCTCCAGCTCCCTGCACCCTCCCCTCCCCACCCCCGCACACACAGGAGGCGGAGTTCAAGGAGTTCAGCCGGCAGGGCGACGTGTACGGCGCCATAAGCAGCCAGATCGCGCCGTCCATCTTCGGCCACGCCGACATCAAGAAGGCCATCGCCTGCCTGCTCTTTGGCGGCGCGCGCAAGGTGGGCCGTGTGCGAGGGACGGCTGGGGATCACGAGAGCAGTAAGGTGGGCCGTGTGCGAGGGACGGCTGGGGATCACGAGAGCAGTAAGGTGGGCCGTGTGCGAGGGACGGCTGGGGATCGCGAGAGCAGTAAGGTGGGAGAGTGTGAGCCTGGAAGGTGGGGTGCCATGCTTGCCTTGCAACGCTTTACTGTGCGCGTTGACATGCCTGCTCTCTGCACTGTTCCTTGTCCAACACCTGCTGCGGCCTGCCATGACATGCCGTGTTCTGTTTAAATCTAAACAATCGAAGCTGGTAATTTTGTGTGTGTGTGTGTGTGCGCGCGTGTGTGTGTGTGTGCGTGCGTGCGTGCGTGCGTGCGTGCGTGCGTGCGTGCGTGCGTGCATGCGTGCGTGCGTGCGTGCGTGCGTGCGTTTGTGTGTGTTTTTCCAGATTTTTGGTGTTGTCAATTCTTTGTTGTTGGTTCTATATGTGCCTTTCTCTTCCGTCTGCCCCCTTATTCCGCTGCTCCCTCGTCCACCAATCAGCTACTGCCAGATGGCGCAAGGCTGAGAGGCGACATCAATGTGCTGCTGATTGGTGATCCATCCACCGCCAAGTCCCAGGTGAGTCAGCATGAGTCACAGCTGAGTCGGCAAATGTTGGTTCAATACTACTTCTCACCTGCGTCCATTTCCCCGAAGTTATGCACAATCGGCACCCATCCCCGGTTCTTCAAACGACTATATCTCCATGCGGCCTATTTGCACTTCGACACAATCCCTTCCTCAACCATTCCTCTCCCCCCCTCCCCCATCCCCACCTGTGCCGCGGCAGTTCCTCAAGTTTGTGGAGAAGACGGCACCTATCGCCGTGTACACATCAGGGAAGGGCTCCTCTGCTGCTGGTCTCACCGCCTCCGTCATTCGCGATGCCTCCTCTGTCAGTGCTGCGCCACACCAACCCACTTGTTCTTCCGCCAATTTAATATGGTTTTCTCTTTTCTTGTCTCTGTATTTGTGTACATCCTCCTGCTATTGATCTTTGTCCCTGTGTTTACTCCGTTCCCTGTTATTTGTGTATGGCATGGCACGGGGGGCAGAGGGAGTTCTACCTGGAGGGCGGCGCCATGGTGCTGGCAGATGGCGGTGTGGTGTGCATCGATGAGTTCGACAAGATGCGCCCTGAGGACAGGTGTGGGGGGAGAGGGGGGATGGGGCATGTGCTGTTATTAGTAAACAGGTGGGCTGCGGAGGTCTGATGTCCATCAACTTGAGTGTTATTGAGACGGGCTGCGCATCGATGAGTTCGATGAGATGTGGCCTGAGGACAGGTGTGGGGGGAGAGGGGGGATGGGGTGGGAGGCATGGATGGGGGAGGATGGGGTGGGAGGACATGAGTCTCACTGTGTGCTTCGCCGCTCCCTCTACCCCATGCTCCCCACAGAGTGGAGAGGCGATGGAGCAGCAGGCGATGAGCATCGCCACGGTAGCCATCACCACTCGCGCACCTCCCGTGTTCCCTGTGACCACCGTGCTTGCCCGTTCCAGCCGCTCGCACCATGGGTGTTGCAGAGTGGCAATCCTCGAGGCAACGAAGCATGCGTCTCACATGTGTGGTTTCTCGTCTGCCTGGTGCAAGTCATTCGGTGTGTGTTCCTCTAATTGTGCCCCGCAGAGTGGCGATACACGAGGCGATGGAGCAGCAGACGATAAGCATCGCCAAGGCGGGCATCACCACGGTGCTCAACTCGCGCACCTCCGTGCTCGCCGCTGCCAACCCGCCCTCCGGCCGCTACGATGACCTCCGGGTGAGGCAAGGGCCGAGGGGGTGGGTGGGAGGGATGGGGAGGGGGGGGTTGTTGGGGGGGCGCCTTAACAAATGTATCATTGTGTTGCCGTGACCTGCCACATCTTCCCATGTTATTCCCCGGAAATACCAATGCGTTGCGTGCATCACATCCCCGTCTCCCTCTCTCCTCTTACATCCCTCCTCCTCGCACCACCCCGCCCCACAGACGGCGCAGGAGAACATTGATCTGCAGAGCACCATTCTGTCGCGCTTCGACCTCATCTTTGTCGTCAAGGACACAAGGGACTTCAACCGCGATCTCGTGCGCCCTCCCCCCCCTCCCCTCCCCTCCAATCCCCTCCCCTCCTCCCCTCCCCTCCAATCCCCTCCAATCCCTCTTTCTTTTCTCCCTCGTTTGCCCTACCTCCATTATTTCACTAGACATTTTTCCAGTGTCTGAAGATTGACAGTGTTTTGCGTCGACTCAAAAGTCATCATGTTTTGCTTGTAAATTCGCTGGCCTCGTCTTTGTTATCAAGAACACTTGTGATTTCAACGTGACCTGCTATCTGCTTCCTCACAACCGCAACTGCTGTGCGGAAACCACCTTTCTATATTGCCCGCTCAATCTATATGTCAAAGACACCCGTGACCCGCTCCATCCTCCTTGCGTTCGCGTTTGCCTTCCGTTGTCAGCCCTAGCTCCTTGCCAACGCCCGAGTTTGTTTCGCCCCTTCTGCCCCTCAAGCGCGGGGTGAACGTGTATGCGAGGTGTCAGCCTGAGCCCCTTATTTACTTGCACCTGTGCCCCTTCCCCCATGGCTCACCCCTTCCCCCATGCAGCAAATCGCGCGGCACGTGGTGAACGTGCATGCCAAGGCAGATGCCGTGCTGGGGCAGGCAGACGATGCCATGGGCGGGCGGGCAGCCATGGGGGACGGACCTGCAGGGGCGGGGGGCGTGGGGCACGCGGGGAAGGATGGCGAGCAGGAGAACTGGCTCAAGAGGTAACGAGGAGGGGGGGCTGAAAATTGGTGGGGGAAATGGGCAAAGCATGGAGTAGGGAAATTTCTTCCACGGTTCCACTTACCAGCATTCCCCTTTATATCCCCAAGCGCTTTGAGTCTTTCTCTTGCCTCAAAACCTTTGATTTGAAGGCCTCCCTGCTCCCCTTCCGCTGCTGCCTGTTTCCCTAAACCCCTCCCATCAGGTACATAGAGTTTGCTCGCACGCGCTGCTCCCCGCGGCTTTCAGAGTCAGCAGCAACGCTCCTGCAGAACAACTACGTGCAGATCCGGCAGGTGGGGGCTGATCCGGCAGGTGGGGTGCTTGCTGGTGTGTTGCAGTAAAACATGTCACATTTCAGTGGGGTGGGACATGTCACATTGTTGTTGGACACGTCACATTGTTGTTGGACACGTCACATTGTTGTTGGACACGTCACATTGTTGTTGGACACGTCAGATTGTTGTTGGACACGTCACATTGCTGTTGGACACGTCACATTGCTGTTGGACACGTCACATTGCTGTTGGACATGTCACATTGCTGTTGGACATGTCACATTGCTGTTGGACATGTCACATTGCTGTTGGACATGTCACATTGCTGTTGGACATGTCACATTGCTGTTGGACATGTCACATTGCTGTTGGACATGTCACATTGCTGTTGGACATGTCACATTGCTGTTGGACATGTCACATTGCTGTTGGACATGTCACATTGTACCACAACACAGCACATCACAACGCTGAAGTGCAGATGCGACAGGTGCACTTTCTGTTTCGGTGCAGTGACCCTTGCTACATGGGGGACATGCTGCAACACATCACATCACATCACATCACATCACATCACATCGCACTGTGCCGCACCATTCCGCATCCCACCGCCACCGTTGCTGCGCCACATAACCCAGCATCATCCCCACATCATCCCTTCTCCCCTCAGAACATGCGGCGGAGGGCAACGGAGACGGGGGAGGCGTCAGCGCTGCCAATCACGGTTCGCCAGCTGGAGGCCATCGTGAGGCTCTCAGAGTCCATGGCACGGATGCAGCTGTGAGTGACGTGGCATGCAGCTGTGATTAACGTGGCATGGAGCTATGAGTGACGTGGCATGCAGCTGTGAGTGACGTGGCATGCAGCTGTGAGTGACGTGGCATGCAGCTATGAGTGACGTGGCATGCAGCTATGAGTGACGTGGCATGCAGCTGTGAGTAGCGTGGCATGCAGCTATGAGTGACGTGGCATGCAGCTGTGAGTGACGTGGTATGCAGCAGTGAGTGACGTGGCATGCAACTCTGAGTGACGTGGCATGCTGTTCTGAGGGTAACGTACAACATATTTCGTACCCTCGTGTCCGTCCCTCTTTCACTTCCTTCGTACCCCCTCTTTCACTTCCTCCATACCCCCTCTTCTCCCCCCCAATAGCTCTCCAGTGGCCACGGGGTGGGAGCACGACACCAAGGACTTTTGAGACGTCTCAAAAGCCCACTCCCACATCCCTTCTCCCTCTCCTCTTCTCCCTGCACCCCATTGCTCCCCCCCCAGCTCCCCAGTGGCCACGGAGGAGCACGTCACCGAGGCGCTGCGCCTCTTCCATGTCGCGACGCTGGACGCCGCCCGGTCGGGCGTGGTGGACGGCGCAGTGCTGACGGAGGAGCAGCGGCGCGAGGTGCAGCAGGTGGAGGGCGCGGTGCGGCGGCGCGTGGCCATCGGGGGCTTCGTGTCCGAGCGGCGCCTGCTGGATGACATCACGCGGTCCGGCATCAGTGAGAGCGCCGTGAGTCCTGGGATGAGAGGAGTCAATCAGGTTTCAGTGAGAGCGTGGTCAGTCTTGGGCTGTGCGATCGCGGTGACTCTAGGGCTGTGAGAGCGCAAGTGCGAGTTCTGGGTGGTGTGTTTGGAAGAGTGAGTGTGAGCATAGCATGCGTGTCGTAGAGACTGCTGCTGGATGAGAGGAGTCAATCGGGTTTCAGTGAGAGCGGGTTGAGGCGTGGCGGGGGTCATGGGCGGGGGCGCATGAGGGTGAGCCCTGCTTGCCTGCTCGTCTCATTCGCCTTGCAACCTGCTCCCCTGCTAGCTGCCTCCCCTGCTAGCTGCCTCCCCTGCTAGCTGCCTCCCCTGCTAGCTGCCTCCCCTGCTAGCTGCCTCCCCTGCTAGCTGCCTCCCCTGCTAGCTGCCTCCCCTGCTAGCTGCCTCCCCTGCTAGCTGCCTCCCCTGCTAGCTGCATCACCAGGCTGCATCACCAGGCTGCATCACCAGGCTGCATCACCAGGCTGCATTCTACTGCTTGTGTAATCTCCACACTGCCGCCTACTTGGTGCCCGTCTGGTGGGTGCTGTGCGCAGCGCTCATCACAATCCTTGATCGTATGCATCACCGACTATGTGTGGCATGTGCTATGTGCGTGGCATGGTTTGTGGCATATGCCATATGCCATATGCCATATGGCTGTGGTATGTGGCATGGCATGTGTGATGGCATGCTGTATTCCTCAGGTGCGGCGAGCGCTGCTCATCATGGTGGCACGGGGAGAGGTGGAGTACCGACGGGAGAGGAGGGTCATTTACCGCAAGGTCTGACCACCGCTTCTACTGCTGCTCTGACCACCGCTTCTACTGCTGCTCTGACCACCGCTTCTACTGCTGCTCTGACCACCGCTTCTACTGCTGCTCTGACCACCGCTTCTACTGCTGCTCTCACCGCCGCCCTGACCGCAGGTCTCACTCTTGCTCTCACTGCTGCTCTCACTGCTGCTCTCACCGCCGCTCTCACTGTTGCTCTCACTGCTGCTCTCATTGCCATTGCAACTCTGACTACAGTACAACCACTGGTCTAGGCTCCAGTCTATTAATGAGTACAATAATGTACATTTTGCTGCGCTGGTTAAAAAAAAGGGCCCCAATGATTTGCAACTGTTGTTGACAAAAACAAGTCGGTGTAGTTTACATGTGTTGTGCTAAGAAAGCCCTAGGGTCAGGCCCTCATTGGTTTTGGGGCATGCTGGAAAATCAGTTGTCACACAATTCTAGGCTGAAAATCAGCCAAAAACAGCCCAAAACCCCAATTTTACACTAGAAATATTACTGTAATACTACTGCAGCCACCATCCGTCTTGGTCTCAAGATTCACAACACCCTTTCTATGCAGGGTGGGATTTCAATAACCCTGCTTCTTGGCAGGGTGGAAATTTTGCTACCCTGGCAAACTTAGGGCAACCACACAGAATTCGGCAAACAGGAAGGGTAGTAGTCAGGCAGGGGAAATTTTATCAGGGTAAATCACCCTGATACCCTGATAATCAGGGTGGTTTTTGGGGGTCACACTGATGGCCCCAGGTAATTTTTTTAGGAGCTAGTTTTACCATGATGAACCAGGGTTTACATTTATGTCACACTGATGCATAAGGGTTCCCGGATCCCATAACGAGTTTTACCCTGAAACGAGTACCCTACCCCCCCCCCCTCGCCCCCCAGTACCCCCACCCCCCCTTTCCCGTAACCCTGGAATCCCGATTGCCAAGTGTCGAAGCCTGATTTTCGGCCTTGACAGCGCAAGTGCTGGCACACATTGGGCCACCATTGGCCAGGCTTACAGTTTCTTTGTATTGAGTGCAAGTATAAAAACTAGTGAACAGGGTTTGTTTTTTATGAACACTGATGCGCCAGGGTATATTTTTCCAAAACGGGGAAAACCCTGATGGGAAAGTTTTTTCACAAGGAGTCACACTGATAATCAGGTTTTTGAGCCTGTGCCACACTGATCGTAAGGGTAGGCCAAATCCAAAAATTTGCCCTGTAGTCAGGGTGTTGTCCAGGGCTTCAGATTCGTTTTGGGCCACCCTTAGTAATCAGGGTTCTAGGTATAGTCAACCCTGATGTGTAGGGTAAAAATTTTGTTTCCCTGACAAAAGCAGGGTAAAAACAAAGTTAGTCTGTTGGGCCAGGGGATTCTGTTTTAAAATTTGAATAGTGAATGCTAAGTGCGTGGAAATCAGCACTTAGTGGCTCAGTTTGTTCGATTCGGATAAGATTCGAAAGGTCGCAGGTTCGAGTCTTGCTGTTAGGAGCATTTTGCAGGGGCCAGATAGTGTTTCGTCTCGCTTCGGAGCATTCCGTAACAGTATGACTGAGATCGTATAGTGTACAGTCAGGGAAATGAATTACTTACGCTGTTTTTCAAAGGGTTAAAAAAAACTTACACTTTCTGGCCTAGGGTAAAAAATCCATTACCCTGCCTGTGAAAGGGTAACTGAAAAAAAGCGGCCGCCAGTCAGTGCAAAAAGGGTATTTTACCCTGATAACGAGAGCCCTGGTGTTGTCCCCCCCAAGTATTCCGCACCTCGGCTGATTGATGTTTAACCCGAGGACCCGAACCCCGCACTTAACCTGTGGAACTTGAATACATTAACTTACCGGTACATTTTTTCCTATGGATCACCTATTTATCGAATATTGCAGGTAAGCAGGGTCTTACACACAAAGCTAGAGACGACTATGCGTGAACATCAATCTCCACGTTGTCTATGAGACGCACTGATCCAAAATGGGCTGCCACTGCAAGCACAGCGGGGCAAGTGATGTGCGAGATTGGCTCGAGACCCTCCTGCTCCACCAGCTGTCAAACCACAACATCCACACAGACAGCAGATTAGTTACACCAAGAACGCTCACACATGCACAGAGGTATTATGATGAGAGTAATGTAGCAACTGTGCAGTGACATCCTGGCATGGTGGAGGGGCCTGGGAAGGGAGCAAGAAGCTGATGCTACCAGACAACACACACAGCCCCGTCACCATCCCATGCTGCTTCATCTCCATCCCATCCCATGCCTACCTGCACATACTCCACTCGCCCCCCTGCCTCCTCAACCGTTTGCCTCACTCTCTCCACCACCGCGCTTGCATCTGCCGCCTGTGCGTGCCCCTCGCCTCGCTCACTCTCGCCCGCACTGCTGTGAGCCGCCTCCACTGCTGCCTTGGCTGCCAGCAGCGCGCGGCTGATGGAGAGAGCCTGCCATGGATAGCGTCGTACAGACAGGCCGCATGGCCACACAGGCCGCATGGCAACACAGGCAGCATGGCAACAAAGGCAGCATGGCAACACAGGCCGCATGGCAACACAGGCCGCATGGCAACACAGGCCGCATGGCAACACAGGCAGCATGGCAACACAGGCAGCATGGCAACACAGGCAGCATGGCAACACAGGCAGCATGGCAACACAGGCAGCATGGCAACACAGGCAGCATGGCAGAGCGGCAGGGTTGGACATGCAGTTGGCCCATCCAGCAATACGGGGATGGTGGAGGAGGAAGGGAGATGATCAAATGGGGGGGTTAAGAAGGTGTGTCACACACTATACTTTGATACTGTTCCATAATGTGGACTGTAGCAATATGTGGCGCACATCACCATAAGGTGGTGCTCTCATCACAGCCCCAATGTGCGTGCATGCAATCAAATCAACCAGACCTATTCATCAACTTGTTCGTCTTCCAACCATGCTCCCACTGCCCAACACAGCGAACCTGGCTGGCTGCCTGTGCTGTGGTGTGAGGCGCATGTTGCGGCGGCTCATGGCCAGTCGAACACCATTTGAGTGCCATGAGGTGGCAGCAACTGCGTGTGAAACACCTTGACAGCAGCTTGTGCCTCACCTGTTGCCTGTGCTGTGGTGAACCTGTCTCGCCTCACCTGCTGCCTGTGCTGCGGTGTGAGGCGCACGTTGCGGCCTATGTGGAGAAAGACGCGTCCAGCGTCCTGGACGCATGCGTCCAGACGCTGGACGCTAGTTTAGGGCCCCCGAGACGCAGCAAAAGACGCAGGTCCGGGCAGCCAAAAAAAACACCCCGGGCAGCCAAAAAAAAAGTTATAGGGCAGAGGGAAGAGGGGGTAAGAGGGGGGGGGGGGGGGGGGGGGGGGGGGGAACACACTTTCATAGCAAAATTTCTCCTCAACAACAAAATTCCAGCCACAACAATAGAACATGAAGGTGAGCCCCAAATTTCCATAATCACAATTAGTCCAAGGGTTGTTTAGCATGCATGCATACTACCACTAACTAACATGCATCACTCATCCTCCTCGCTCTCCATCCCCTTCTCCTCCTCCTTCTCCAAATCCTCCTGCTCCTTGTACTCGTCGAAGGTGAGGTCATCCTCATCCACCTCCACCTCTCCATCCTCCTCAAGCTTGTACCCCTCGGGAAGGGGTCGGGGGGGAATGTTCCCCTCCACTATTCCCGCCTTCCTGACTTCCCCACTCGGCCCCGCACCCGCCGCACCCTTGTGGTGGTTGTGCACAACGTTCCAGTTGTGCGCAACGAACACAAGGTCGCGAACACAAGGAGCTAGCCATAACGGTGGTGCGCGGAAAGGAGCTAAAACCACTAGGGTTTTTGAAAGAGAATTGGGTTGTGAGAAAAGGGAGCACAAATGAGAGGTTTCATGAACTAAATGGGCTTTGTGGGGGTGGTGGACCACAAAGGTTGGGTTTCCTAGTTGTGGAGTGGTGGAGAGGGGTTGGATTTCCAAATCAATTTTGCAAAAAGGGGAGGGGGTTAGGGGTGAATTAGATGGCTGGTTTTGGGGGTCGAATTTGCTTGGAGGGTGTCGAATTTCGGCGAAATTGACATTCGCGACGAAATCGCGAATGTCAATTTCGCGATCGCGAAAAAAAAAAAAATCTCGGTCTGCCCGAAAATTTTTCCAGGGTGCGTCCTGCGTCCGGACGCGCGTCCTGCGTCTTTGCGTCCGGACGCTGCGTCCGGACGCAGGACGCAGGGCTGCCCCAGCGTCTTTCTCCACATAGGTTGCGGCTGCTCATGGCCAGCCCATCCGCCTCACGCAGCAGCGGTGCGCCCACCACCTGCACCGCCATGTCCAGATCACGCACCTGCAGGAGTCATGGGGGACCGGCGCAGCACAGCAGTCAGGGCAGGGGGGGTTGGGAAGTGATTTGCGAGTCCAGGGGGGGTAAGAGGGGAATGACGGGGAGGGGTGCGGATGGAATAATGCCATGTCAAGGTCGCGCACGTGGACCATCACAGCACACATGGGGTTGAGAGGGTGGTCAGGAGGGCACATGGGGTTGAGAGGGTGGTCTGGAGGGCACATGGGGTTGAGAGGGTGGTCTGGAGGGCACATGGGACAGCAGCAGTCATGCATGGGAATGTGGGGACGGGTGGGGATGACGATGACGCCAATACAGCATGCACTCCTCTACGTCACCACTTGCGCTGTTCTGTGCCATGCCGCCATGCCCCCCTGTTCCACTCACCATGCGCTGGATAAGTTGCCACTGCAGTTAGTCTTTCTTGCCAAACACAGAAACATCAGGCTTTACTACGATGTGCAGCAGCTTCACCACTTGCGACGCTGCCATGCCCCCCTGTTTCCACTCACCATGCGGTGGATGAGGCGCCACTGCTGGTTGTCCTTCTTGCCAAACACAGCCACGTCCGGCTCCACGATGTGCAGCAGCTTCACCACCACCGTCGCCACGCCGCGGAAGAACACCGGCCGCCCGCCCCCACACAGCGGCCGCTGCAGCCGCTCCACCGTCACCCACGTCTCGTGCCCTGCTGGCGCCGCCGCGCTCGCCGCTCCGCTCGCTGCTGCTGCGCTCTCTGCAGCGCCGCCAGGGGCGGGCGCTGCTGCAGGGGGCTCCGCGACGGCGTGGCGCTGGTCGGGGGGCGCGTAGAGCGGGCGCAGGTAGAGGTCCGCAGGGGTAAACACTGCTGCCACCGGGAGATCCTGAGGGGAGGGCAGTTGAGAGGGAAGAGGCAGGTGCAGGGTGGTTGAAAGGGTTGGTGCGTAGAGACGGCGCAGTTAGAGGTCCGCGGGGGCGAACACCGCTGCCACTGGCAGATCCTGAGGGGTGGGTGGCAGTTGAAAGGGAAGAGTTAGAAGCACGTCAAGGGGGTGAGGAGTGCGGACAGGAGATGAGCTCCACCAGCACAGGAGTGAACGGGAGTGAGGACAAGATGGTATTCCCCGGGCTTGTGTCAGGGTCGAACGAACACGAGAGCATGGGCAAGGATGGGAACTGGCTGCCTATGGCTCCACCAGAACGCATCCAATTGCACCGGATGGGGGTGGAAGGAAAGAGGCGGGACCATGGGGTTTGGAGAGCGTAACTTGAGGAACGTAAAATTGCGGGGATGAGCAGGAGATGAGCAGGGAGAGCAGGAGATGAGCAGGGAGAGCAGGAGATGAGCAGGGAGGGCAGGAGATGAGCTATGCTATTGAACGAACAAGGGAGCATGATAGGATGGGGTTCAGGAGGCGTACCTCGCACCTGGAGGAGGGGCGTACCTTGAGAAGAGCGAGATCACGGGCGAGGTCGCGTGGGTAAGAAAGGAGGTCTTCGTGTGGGGCGAACTGCGAGGGGTTGACGTAGATCGACACAGCCACCACGTCTGCGAGCGAGGCCGCCAGGCGCACGAGAGAGAGGTGGCCCTCGTGGAGATACCCCATGGTGGGCACCAGTGCCACTGTGCGCCCCTGGCAGTGCTGCTTGCGCGACCACTGCCGCATGGCTTCCTTCTCCTCGATTACCTCCATGGCTGCATGCGGTGGGCAATGGGAGAGGAAAGACAGGACGGTGTTCAGAGGGCAGTGGGTGCTTCAGATCACAGCATGTAAGAGGTCAGCGGGATGGGAACGAAGGTGGGACCGGGATAACGAGAGTGTGGAGGGAAAGACAGCACAGACGCGAGTGAGGAGGGAAAGACAGCACAGACGCGAGTGAGGAGGGAAAGACAGCACAGACGCGAGTGAGGAGGGAAAGACAGCACAGACGCGAGTGAGGAGGGACCAATGCACTTGTCACCAGGACCTACAATTCCCACACTAAACAGTTATGTTTCTTTTTCATGTCGCCTGGAAGGAGTATACTCTTAAGTCAATTTGATAGCTCACTCGTTCCTTTGCTCACTCGTTCCTTTGCTCTCACTGGTTAACTAATCTGGGGTTGGTGAAGCAAGGGTCGGTTACAGAGCCTACAAAATTGATTTAACGTACGACTTTGGAAGGAGCAGTGGAAGAAAGGGGGCCAAAGGGGTGGGGATGGGAGTGTGGGGGGGATAGAATGGCAACATTGGGCAGCAAAGTTAGCAGAATGAGAGCGATAAGGGGGAACTGAGACAAGGGTCAGTCGCTTTTGCTAAGATTGTACCTATGCGCATTGGGACAGGGTAGGAGGGGTTGAAGAAAGTAGAGTATGTAAGGGAGAAAGCGGTGAGGGGAGCACCAATCGTAACAGGCTGCATCACGCATATTCGAAATCTGCTTGCAGTTACGCGTGAACCAGCAAGTTCCCCCATGGCATCTCACACACGGAAAAAAACAACCGTCTCTGAATGTGCAAGAGAGAACAAAATTTTGTTGGAAATTTCAGCAAGTTACAGTACAAGCCTGGGCACGCACAAAACTTCAACCTTTAAGGGTGCATTCCTGCACTTCGGGTCATCAGCACTTTGGGTCATCCGAAATTGTGGGATCCAATCGGAAACTCGGAATCAAGAGATTGGGGTGCATTCCGATTTTCCGATTGGATCCCACAATCTCGGAAGACCCGAAGTGCTGATGACCCGAAGTGCAGGAATGCACCCTAAGCAAACGTAAACACATCTAAAAGCCAAGCTGGCTGGGATAACGAGGCACATGGGCTGATTGAGGCAATGTGAATGAGGTAGGGCGAATGAGGTAGGCTGAATGAGGCATGTAGCATGAGGTTTGTCGATTCAGGGTTTATGGAAGGCCGAATGAGATAGGGAGAATGAGGGAACTTGAATGAGGTAGTGTTAATGAGGCCAGAAGAAAGAATGACTTGGGGTGAATGTGGAGAATGCCTTGAGAATTCTCAAAAGCAACTCCAGCACAGCTGCGCTGCAGCACGCAGCGCGCTCGACGACGCACTCGCCGTGGGTGCGGTGCAGCCCTCAGCGGGCTCCACAACAGTTGATTGAATGAACCTATGCCGCTGCGTGTAATGGGCTGCAGGCAGCTGGAGATGTGACCTACCTAATGGTGGTGTGACGTGCACGTGTCGCACTTGGCCACTCGCAATTCCCTTCCCGTGCCTTCACACCCCCCCTTTCCCCCCTTGCCTGCAGGGCAAGGGCAAGGACAAGGAGGGAAGAGAACGCAAGGGACGGAAACGGAGGGCAAAGGAAAGCAAGGGAAGAGTGATGAGTATGGAAGGGAACTGAAGTGTGTGGGAAGGAAAGGGATGGGAATGGAAGAAAAGCGATGAGAATGGAGGTGAAGGGAACGGAAGGCAAGGGAAGGGAAGAGCAGTGAAAGGAAGGAAAGGGAGGAAGAGGTACTGGAATGGAATGGAAGGAAACGAGAGAGACGGGATCAGAGGAGTGAATGGATGGGAAATGAATGGAGGGAAGGGAACAAGGGAAAGGAACGGGGCGGAGGTGTGAAGGTAGGTGAGGGATTGGTAGGAACGGTGGAAAGTGAATGCAGGGGTGCAGTGCACGCATTAACCTTGTATAAGAGTGGACGAAAGTGGGCGTCGGTATGGTGATAGTTCCCCCCTCTGGCCCACTCCAACACTAGCTCTGCCGCACCCGCCCACGCCTGAAGGCCACTGGAAGGAGAAGAAGGAGAGGGACGGACCAGGGGTGAGGAGGAAACGTGAAGATAGATAGGGCGAGGGGCGGAGAATACGTGGGAAGGAGTTCTGCTTGATTTGGCTCAAAGGCTTTGGAGAGATTGAACGGAAAGGAAACAAGAGGGAATGGAAGGGATGGGAAGGGAAGGCAAGGATTGGGCAGCTGAGAGAAGGGCAGGGGGCGTAGAGAAGGTGGGCAAACGGAAAGGCATAGTAGGAAAATTTTGCAGTTGAGGGGATGGACCAAGGTGTAGGGTAGGGAACGGAAAGAAAGGGAGGGGAAGGATACGTAAGGGAAGGAAAAAGAAGGGAATGGTAGGGAGGGGAGAAGGCGCGACGAAAGCAGGCGGGCCGAGGGGAGGCGCGACGAGAGGAGGCGCTACAAGAGGAGCCGCGAAGAGGGGAGGGCTCCGCGCGATGAGGGGAGCACGACCAGGGGAAAGGAGGCGCGGAAAGGTGTAAGGGGTGGAGGCGCAATAAGGGGAGGGGAAGCGCGATGAGGGGAGGGGAGGCGCGACTACGGGCAGGGGAGGAGCCAAGAGGAGAGGGGTGCCTTGGCGACTTGAGGCCCCGAGACGTGGGAGAGCAAGCGAGGAGGCGGCAGGCGCCCTAAACCACACTCACGAGGTTGTCCTTGGGCGTATTTCTTGCTCATTAAAGTTTGTAGTAGCGAATGTGCTCAGGATGTCCTAAACCCTGCGAATTACGCCAATCCCTGGCTCTTTGTGGTGACGCCCAAGTTTAGTCTAGCATGTACAAGATGTGCTGCAATGGGTTCGCCAAAATTTCTAGGGAAAAGATCATACAGGGGCCGAACATTGCCAGAGGAGTGTTCAAAGTAGGGCCGGTAAATCTCGACCGTAGGATTTCAGCCCAGAGCTGCCCAGCCGACTTGGCGAACAAGCCAAACCGTATTTTTGCTAGAAGAACCGAATTTCGTATTCATGTTTTTTATTGAGGGCTTTGACCTCAGTCTACTACAAAGAGCGCGTCGCCTTCTTCTGGAAGTAAAGTTCGGCAGATCAAATCGTGAGTACGTATAGCATATTACATTCTGGTGATAAATATCACCTACCCGGTCTTAAACGCACTGGAAAAAAATATATTACCCATTCGGAAACAGATGCGACTCGGGAGGCATCAACCCTAAATACCAGGAAGTTATCCGTTTTTAGGGTTGACCCATCCCGAAAATGCATCCAGGTTCCCTATGAGTTTTAGTTTTTTTTTTGCTGCCCTAAGAGTTTCCAGTAGAGTGGGCTCGCTGAACAACACGCGAGCGAAAATGCGAGCCGTTACATGTCACTAATAACATAATTACGCGCAATAAACGAAGACCCTATGTTAATCCCTCTTTCCGCAGCGGTTTGGGAAGTTCCGGGCCTCTCGGCCCCTGGTTGATCACCCCTCTGGCACTGTTCGGCCCCTCGTTGATCTTTTTCCTCATTTCTACACGGTATACGGGATTTTAAACCTAAACAACGTCACCGTAAAGTGCAAAACAGCCAACGTACAAACTTGGAGAAAATGCGCAGGATGCATGGCGCCCTTAGTGGGTCTCTGTTACGGGTGCAATGGATCGAGGTAGCGAGGATTCCACTAAGGTGTCAAACGAGTACAAAATGTGAGCGAAGGCATGAGCGAACATTTATACGCGAAACATGCAAACGGTAACGCGGTGCGTGCGAGCTAGCTAGTGCTATGCTGGCAGCGAGGCTCGGGCTAGTCCCGAAGCGTAGGCCGACACGGCCGGGCCAGCAGTGCGAGGTTTGGCAAAACAGTGCGCGCGAAGTTGGCGAAGCCCCGTTAGCAGTAACGGGCGAACAACGGCTGTTGCTGTACGCGATGTAGTCGGACTCCGTAAGGAATGCCGAGAAAATTCCTTACAATACCCCTTCCCCCTCAAGAAGCCCCCTCCGCTACGCGAGTGCGTGTATATCGCGGAATCCCCGGCTCCTCAGGTACACTTGCAGGGCAAGGTGGTTTTCGATGTTGGCCAGGGGCACCCAGCTATCTTCAGTTGGCGTGCGGTCCTTCCAGCGAACGAGGAATTCAATCCTCCTGATTCCCGTGGGGTGGCGAATCCGATGGCTCAGGATTTTTTCGGGCTCGATGATCGGCTCCGATGCAGGGCGAGTCATGGAATGCGGGCGGTGACGAGGCAATTGGCTGGTGGTTGGGATGTATGGGCGAAGTAGGCTGACGTGGAACGATGGGCTGATGTACCAGTCGGTCGGTAACAGTAAGTGCGCGGTTACTGGCGTGATCATGTGGCTGATTTGGAATGGGCCACAGTAGCGCGGTCGAAGTTTCGGTACGTCGGGCAGTCGCAGATTTTGCGTGTCGAGCAGTACGTAATCCCCTGACTGGTACGTCACTGGGCGGCGGTGGCGGTCAGCATTGCGCTTAGCGATGACGTTTGTTTTTTTAATTGCTTCTGCGGCTCTAGTGCGGGCAGCTTGCAGAATTTCAGCGAATTGCTGTGCACGTGGTGTTGGGTTGTCCGGACTCGGCGTTATGGGCACTGTAGGGTTTTGCCCGTAGTTCAGGTAGAAGGGGGACTGCTGCGTCGTCGCTGACGTGGCATTGTTGTACGCGAACTCGATCAGCGGCAGCTGCTGCTCCCAAGTGGTCGGGTCGTCGCACGTGGCACGAATCAATTGCTCCATCGTCTGATTCGTCCGTTCCGTTTGACCGTCGGTCTCGGGGTGGTACGACGAGCTGAACTGTAGCCTTGTTCCGAACTGCTCCCAGAGGTTCTTCCAGAAGTTGCTGGTGAACTTCGTGTCCCTGTCGCTGATAATCGCTGCTGGTATCCCGTGCAGGCGAACAACGGCTGCGATGAACAGGCGAGCGGTCTCCTTGGCTGAGATCGACTTCTTGCACGCAGCGAAGTGTGCCATCTTCGTCAACCTGTCAACGACGACCATCACCACGT